ACAAATCAGTCCTTTCATATAAAAAAACCTTTTTGCACTTCTTTTTCAGGATAAATCACCTATTCAATGTATGTTAAAAGCAATTGAGAGTTATTATCAAAGTCATCACTTCATAAGTTTTCACTATGTCCTACATGATGACTTAGGGGAAATAACATGGTACAGCTTAATACATTTTCAGCATCTACACCATAAACCTAAGTGGGCTGGCATCAAAATTCTTATACTAAAATAATGTAGTGGGTACAAAAGCAAGAAATACTCTCCAACAACTTCACATTTCTACAATTGTGTGAATAATTTGTCATATATCAAACTTTGCAAAAACATTTTTGAGTGTCCTTCAACTCATGGTATTCTATCTTGCACTTGTTAGAATACTAAAAATAAATCACAAATTCAACATAGATCGAGAGACATTGAAAGCTATTAATATATTAACAAACTAAACAAACAATCTTTAATCAAGATTCAAGATGTAATAACTTTATCTAAAATTTTAGCTCTATTATAACGTCGCAAAAATAATCCTCAGATATTCTTTTGCCCATGCCGACTCTTGAAAAAAAATATATTCATACATCATCAAAGAGGCCACTACAAATTGATTTATTTATGATTAGACTATCTCATCCACCAAACTTTTTTTTTTTTGAAGTCTATCGATGCATTGTCATCTGGTTGGTGTCATTAAGAAATAATATCATAATTTATAATAACAATCATCAGTAATATTAATCTATGAAATACTCAAGTTATGTACATAGGCAAATATTTAAGTAATAACCACAATTTTTTTTTTACCACGTATTATGCTACACAAGCTATATATGTGAGTTCTTGAAAAATTAAATCAAAACTAATAGCATTCATGATCTTCCATATTTATAAAGTCTATACTTTCATGTTTCTAACTAGAATTCATACATAGAATTTTCTATAATCATCAACCAACTAAGTTGGCATACTATCTACTATAACATCTCAAAATAAACCATCAAATTTCTTTTCTATAAATCTCAAATGATAATCTCTCACATCAAGTGTCATCACAATCTAACATCACCAAAATAAATACATTTAGCATAAAAGTTTAATCATAATGATCATCTATAACTAATCCCTTGAATTTTCCTTATCATAATAGCATATATCATTAGATAATATTTTCATAAGCCACATATGTCAAACATGCCTCCAGTTAAGCTGAACTAATTCCTTTATATCCAGGAAAACTAAACAAGGAATTTTGTAATCCATGAATCTAAAATCATATATCTCTATAACTAAAATTGATCCAATAATATTCATATTGTCCTTAATCAGATTTCAAAATAAAACATCAACTTTCATTTCTATGCACCAAAATCCAATATATATATTTTTCTTTCATTACTTAACCATCCCCAAAATCAATTAGGACCTACAGCCTTCCAAAATCAATTAGGACCTACAGCCTAGGCTCTGATACCATCTTACTGTCACGCCCCAAAACTGCAGCGAAAAATTCATAAATACAGGGTACGTGACAGCAGCGACCCATGCACAAGACAAGTCTTATGCATGAGTCAAGCATGACACTTATATCACATAGTTTATCTCAAAGTATTTATAAACATGCTGATGATAGCAGTTCAGAGCAAACTATATGTATATACTTATAAATGTTACTTACATTCCACAACCCTTACCGTTATAAATATTTACAGCGCAAAACATTCTTTTTGCTGAACATATCACCACTGGCAATTAAACACTTCTCAACCATGTCCATGATCAAAATTTTGGATCATCGCTTTTCTAACTCAGATCTGAAAAAAATTTGAAAACAACGGGGTGAGCTAAAAAGCTTAGTGAGAACATTTCCCACTAGAGTCCTAGATAACTAACAATATAGTAATAAGTATAATTCTCAAAATAACAATTTATAAGTTTTGCATCAGAAATTCAAAATAGCAAAATACGATCCGAATATCATAATATTATTGTCTTCAAGAAAGAATGCAACAATTATATTTTCTTTCTTATGTGCAACTGAATATACTGTGACATTTCTTGGAATCAAACCCTTTTTAAATCAAGGTAGACATTAAGAAAGAAAAGAAATTACTAAATTGGGTACAAAACCAGAGGACTATTATTTTCTCAATTTCGCAGTCAATTGTCAAAATCTTAAATCTGATAAGTCGTGTTCTTCGAATTCTCGTTCAAATCTCAAAATCATAAATCTATTACTGTCAGGCGATGTGGATTCTAGAGGTAGCTTCTACGGGCTCTAGAGGTGGCTCCCACCGCGTTCATACGGTGTAGCACTTAGCCCCGTATAACACTTAGCTCCACATTTCCAGCTAGTAATTCATGAAACACAATAATCACCTCATATGTCACACTAAGGCTACGAATTATAGCCCAGTAGCATGGGAATGCGTAAACGCATCAGATAACAGATAATTTCCGGGAATCGAATGCACCTAACACTGTCATAGGTTACTGACCAAATACAGAAGGGCCAAGGTCAATACAGAAGGGCCAAATAAAGGTGCATTCACCATATGACAGGCAGAAACAATCCATAGTGGACTTTTCGAGGGTTTGAAAACATCGAGATCACATGTCAAATGAATAATACTTTGCATATCAGAATTTACAGATATTTTCAAATGAAATTGACAAAGTAAAGCTTCTCATTTCTGTTAAAACAGTTTACGGATATTTACTTTTTCTTTTATCAGATACTAAGTCACGAAAAATCTTTGAATCCGTTAAACTGTTGAAATGTGGTCAAAATATTTATTTTCTTCAAAAGCTTCAAATAAAGCAATTCCCACAATTATTTGAAATCGCTTAAGAACCAAATTCACTTTTCGTAGTTCCTATAAAATCAAATTGATTTTTCATATCTTGTACGAAATCAGCATCGTAATTATAGGATAGACCACAACAAAAATATATGAAATCACATTTAACTTTCATATACACAAAATAATAGACTATTTATTTCTCGAGCACAAATTTATTCCAACATAGTACTACGTGCTCATGCAATAATATATTACAAAAATACTAGTGAGAAATGAACTCACCTCTAGTGGATACGACTTCCCCAAAATATTAGTCTCCTAGATATCAACAGGTTCCTATAATATAAGATATAAGACTAATTACTAATTCAAGACAAACATATATTATAGGTAAATCAATTCAAAATCTAGAGCCTAATAAATTCAGATATAATCAATGATAATTAAATTCTGCAGTACATATGAGTTTATGGTTATCTTTGGCAATTCATTAAAATTTTATAACTCTCATATACTAGTTTTCTTTTTTTTTTACTTATTTTTATTTTATATATATATATATATTTTTGTTTGGAGTTGTTACACTTTTATTCATGGATCAACAGCGACAAAATGAATAGCTTAAAATGGCACATTAAGCGAAACACTGTTGTTTTCTGTATGTATTCTAAACTATTAAGGTCATTCGCCCCAAGAGTTTAAAACCCTTGACACTAAGGTACTTCAAATATTTTAAGTCATAAATTTGAGCATGCCACTTGGAATTGCTCATTACAGTTAATTTGATGCACAAGAAAGAAGGCAAAAAACTGTTGTTTCCTATATGCATTCTAAATTATTAAGGTCATTCATAAGTCGTAACACTTTCATTTGAGTGCATAATACACACTTCCTAACTGAAAAATCTCAAGCTCAAATTCTAGCAATAGGATCATCTCCTAAGAGAGGATAGGAAATTTCCTTAAGCGAAAAAGGAAGCAAGAAACAGAAAGGAATTATTATCATCTCAAAAAATCATTTTCAAAAGGAGTAATCACAAGCAAACTGAACACATAATGCAAAAATTATGCTTCTTGTCACATTCGTTAGTCATGTACCTAGGCTTGCCTAGATGAGGCACAGTCTAACTGATACACGCAGGCCAAGTTCATCAAATAATCAACTTGAACTCTCATGGTGGACCATCTAAACTCAAGACACATATTGTTCATATTTATCTGAATCCTCTAAAATGCCTGTATAAGAGGGCTGTGATCTAAACATTTACTAACCTTATTTAAACATTCTTATTCATACTAATATTAGTAAATTGTTCACCTTGGAATCATTTGGTGCATAATGCAAGTATCAAATTTGCATATCTTTTATACACATCCATTTTAGGGAATAATAGACAGTATGAATTTTTTGAATGAACCACAGTCAGTCAATTTTACCCCAAGGCACTTATCCAGTAACTGGCCTTAGGAGCTCTTAACCTAAGGTTGTATACTCTGGCTTTCATCTATAGGGCTCCAAGAAAGAATTCTCCTTGTGTTTGGTATATCTTGAAGCCAGCAGTGTTACCGTAATTCTAACATATCTAGAAATGAGGTATACTTTGAAATTTTGAACTAAACTACCGCAACATGGGAATTATGCAGTTAATAGTCAACATATGGATTTAGTACAATTCCTCTACTTTTGTTATCCATTCGAATATTTCTACTAACAAATACTTACTACAACCATCCATATATACTAACAAGAATATAAATGCTATTTTCCTAATTGGAAAAGTTTAGATTAGTGAATAGATTTTGAATGGTTAGATCTAAATAAGAAAACCACAACTGTAGTCACACTTGATTATTAAAGACCGCATAAAATTTACTACAAGCCTCTGACAAAGTAAAAAAGTTCCATTGACACTCTCTGAAAAAACATGAAACATCCCTAATAGCTCTTTCGACGCTAGAAAAACAAAAACCACGCCTATAGCTTTTGGTCAGCTTCTTGGTAATAATGACAACACAAGAATAACCTTCATATCTCTCTACACGGCTTTAGCCAACACGTGAATTACCCTTATTTCGGTACAGTCTGGCAGGTAAGGAAATAACCTCTTTGGTCAAGCGTGAGTATCACGCCCCTGGCTCCCTTGCTTTTATATAGAATGCCTTCACCATTATTTTATCTCATCTAATGTTACTGTTGTGAGACTAGTTTTCATAAAGTTCTCCTTCCAACTTCTTTCCATACTAGTACATGCTCTATGTTCCCTTGTAATATGGAGTTCAAGTTTATTTCAAGTATTATTCCTTCTTTACAATAAAATTGGATCCTGTGCTCAGTGAACTCTTGGAGTTGGATCAGATTGCTAAGAGCTGCCTCATGTGTGGGATCAACAATATCACTGCAAGATGGACTCCACTTTTTTCACCAGGTAAATTATTGGTGATGTAGATCATCTGTGTCTTCAATTTTTTCCTATCATAATAAGAATGAGAAGCATAATTACTCTTATAAATCACCCTTTCAATAAACTTGCAAAGATGTTATTTATCTAATATAGTGTCTTTTCTCTGATCTCTTTCATCAAATTAGGTCTTGTGACCTCTCTTGATCATTGACCCTTCAATAAAGCTTACACAGAAGAATGAATGAATCCTCTGGATTTGAAGAGTGGATCCGAACACTCCAAAAAGCTATTGGATTGCTGATGGAGTCCTTGTTATTGATGGAGACAGCTGATGTTTTCCTGACAAGAGCAGATTGAGGCTTCTGGTTAACAAAAGAAAAGGAAATGATATAACTACAGGACCTTCTTCAGTTGGATCGAAACTGTGCAGGGATTTGTCATCCTCAAAATCCAAGAAGCCAACTTCTAACACTCCACAAGTATCTGGGTCGTCCATAGTAGTTCATACTACTGTGTTACAATAGGACGGTGGGCACAATTTATCTTGCTAGACGGTTATGGTGTATTATCATCTCTATATGTGTGAAACCCCTTTCTTATATATATAGATAGATAGTTAGTTAGTTAGTTAGTTAGTACTTAATTTGATATTTTGAAGGTTTTTTGAAGTGGAAGGAGGTATTGCAGCATGATCACGTATGTGTAGTCTTGACACGTTTTTCAGACAACGCATGTGAATCAACCATATTGTTGTTCCGCTCCAGTTTCCTCTGTCACAACCTTAATTGAACATAATAGCTAATGTCGAACTGATAATGTAACATCCTAAATCGTGACTACTATATTCATGCAAAGAGTTTCTTTCTTTTTAGCACTTAACAGTTCAAAGCCTGTCTACATAATGAGAATATATAAGGACTTGAATTTTGCAGTCTTGATACTTTAAAGGACAACACAGCTTTCATACTTACTATGCTACTTCAAAAATATTTAGCTCAGAACATATCGTTCACAAACTACATTGGGTACATCATTTTAGACAAATATCATGTCTTCAATTTCTTATACCATGACCAGATTGCCAGAACTAAGGTAGTGTATGGCAGCTTAAAGTTTCGAGAAAACAAAGTGGAAATTCTCCACTCTCTCCCAACTCCTATGAAGTTAAGAAACTGAAGATTATAAGTTACTTTATTTGTTTGGCATATGAAAATATAATGGAGAAAAGTAGGAAGTAGGAACATATGCTGATATGGAGAAACTATGTATTATTCATTTCCCTTTTCACACAACCAAAATCTATCTAAAGATGAGAAAATTTGTACAATAATATTGTAGAAACATTCTGGAAGACCTCAAGCATCACGATCCAAAAACCTACTTTCTGCAAAAGAAAATGAAGGACAATACTAGAGGCATCAAGAAATCCTATGTAAACAATACCCTGATCAATTTCCACTCCCATTAATTTCATCACTGTTTACTTAAAATCTTTCATTTTCACACTGGATACGTCTAACATACTTAGTCTCAACTCTTTCTTTTTCTCAAATAGTCTCAACTCTTTCTTTTACTCAAACTTTGCTAGCTTATATTATGCTTTTCTCTCTTCTTACACTCTAACTGCTTGAATAAATACTAAGAAGTGTTGCAAATTATCTCAATTTGCTTCCTCGGTCTTACTAATTTCTATCTTCCAAATTTTTCTTTCTGGTAAATGAAATTATTATCATTACCAAACTGAACATTATCTTTCTCATTCCTACAACTTCAGAAATCATTATAAGATTTATCTTCCCTCTAATTACCTTATGAACTCTTTGTTACACTACCAACTCTCTTTATCGGACAATCTACCACTCTTACATTCTCCAAGGACGATCCAAACAAATGACTTGAGTTTTAAATGGTTTAAAGTGCTTGTACACTAGGGCGTTTTGGAATATTTTACAATCTAGATCATCAATCTAAGCAGTAAGTCATGCTAAATTGATCATTTTTTAGATAATTTGATACACAAGCAAGAAACTAAAAAAAATATGACTTTTTTGTTATTATGCATTTTATATGGTTTATATCATGTCCATTTTATCTCGTTGTGTAAATCAACTCCTGTCCAACTTTATATATTATTTTAAATGGTGTAAAAAGATCTTCAAGCAGCAATTTGAAGCTAGGATATCTCACTCCATTTCAAACTATCATCATCCTTTCTAATAACATAATCACTTCGCATCCAAACTCTTTAACCCATTGTCTTGTACTAATCCAAAATGTTTGATATGAAATTTAAAAAAATATTGAAATTACATAATCACTTCACATCCAAAATATTTTTGTCTTGAATGGTTAAGAATTATCAAACTTGCAAGTCTTTTACACATTGATTTTGGCATGGAGATTACAATGGAAGACATGGATATTGATGATCCACAATTAGATTTTCAGCAAATTCCGAATTACTTTGCAATTCGTGGCCTAGGACTTTTTAGCCTACACGTACACCGCAAATCCATATCCATAGCGATGTTTACATCCGAAAGTATAGAATTGAAACCCTAAACTTATTAATGAGATCACATGGGCTTATATAGGCCCCCTACAAACACATCTTACAAATAACCCCCTTAACTATACTAATATGTCAACACTCCTCCTCAAGATGAGCGAAAGATATCCACTAAGCCCATCTTATCACATCCTCTAATCATATCTATTGAGCTAAGTCCCTTAGTCAGATAATCTGCTGCCTGGTCTTTAGTTAAAACATGACTTAACTCCAGTAATCCACTGTCCAACTTCTCTTTGATGAAGAATCTATCGATCTCGATGTGTTTGGTTCTATCATGCTGCACTGGGTTATTAGCGATACTGATGGCTGACTTGTTATTACACCACAGCTTCATCTTTGCTCCTTGATCCAGTTTCAGCTCCACCAGCATACTCTTCAACCACAACAATTCCGCGACTCCCAAGGCCATAGCTCTATACTCTGCTTCAGCTGTTGATCTCGCCACCACTGACTGTTTCTTGCTCTTCCACGAGACCAAGTTGCCTCCTATAAAGATACAGTATCCTGAGGTGGACTTCCTGTCATCAGCACAGCTAGCCCAATCCGAGTCATAAGAACCCTCAATGCTCATATGTTCATTCTTCCTGAATATCAGCCCTTTTCCGGGGGCACTTTTCAAATACCTAAGAATCTGGTACACTACGTCCATATGACCCTTCCTCGGATCATGCATGTAGCGACTTACCACGCTCACTGCAAAAGAGATATTGGGACGTGTGTGACTCAAATAGATCAACCTGCCCACCAGTCTCTGGTATCTATCGCGATTAACTGGCTCTCCAGCCTCAGCACCCAGCTTGAACTTCTGACCGATCGGTGTAGTTACAAGTTTATACCCTAACATCCCTGTCTCTTTGAGAAGATCCAGTGCATACTTTCTTTGGGAGAGAACAATCCCCTCAGCTACTCGAGCTATCTCTATCCCAAGAAAATATCGAAGCAAGCTAAGATTTTTTATCTCGAATTCCTTACACAGTCTCTCTTTGAGTTGGGCAATCTCCTTCTCGTCATCTCCTGTACTAATCATATCATCCACATATACCGCCAGCATGGTAATGTGACCTCCACTTCGTCAAAAGAACACGGTATGGTCGGCGTTGATCTGCTGGTACCCCATACCAATCATAGCCCTCCTGAATCTGTCAAACCAAGCACGAGGAGACTGCTTTAGTCCATAGAGAGACTTCTTCAATCTGCAAACCTTACCTACTGTCTGATCTGTATCGAATCCTGATGGTATCTCCATGTATACCTTCTCCACTAGATCTCTATGAAGAAATATATTCTTCACATCTAGTTGGTGTAGCTTCCATCCACCATTTACTGCCAGAGAGATTAAGGTCCGAACAGTGCTTATCTTTGCCACCGGTGCAAAAATCTCATCATAATCGATGCCATATGTCTGACTATACCCTTTTGCCACCAGACGAGCCTTGTAGCGCTCAACTTGTCCATCTGAATTCTGCTTCACAGTGAAGACCCACTTGCATCCAACTGCTCTCTTCCCTTCTGGTAGTTTTACTAGCTCTCAAGTACGGTTCTTCTCAAGAGCTCCTAGCTCCTCGTGCATAGCCGCTTTTCACTTTGGATCCTTCTTAGCAACCTGCCAATTGTTAGGTACAGTAACATAGTCCAATGATGCAATGAATGCCCCATGTACAGGGTGGATGTTAGAATATGATACAAACTGGGCAAGATCCCAACCATATCTATCGGGAGGATTTTATACATTACTACGAGTAGTCCTCCGTACTGATATTGGTGTGGGAGGAGTAGGGAGAGGAATGTTATCACCTTGGGATGAAACTGGTGATGGTGTAGGTGTCTTAGGAGTCGGGACAGGTGTTGGCAAGAGACTTGACAGCACTAGTGGCACTGTAGGTACTGTTCCTGTAATTTGCTTACCCTTCCTACTATAGGTTAGTAGCTCCCCCTGATCCGTGGGCCTAACACCTCTTGTCTTAATTTTCTTTTCTTCTTCATTCTCCTGCTCCTCCTCAACCAATTCTCCCTCCCAAGGAATCGATACAGAAATCGATTTCTCCACATTGTTCACCGATCTCTCACCATTCTCCTCCTCTCGCCTCATACTTCTAGTATTGGGCGAGTTACCAACGGATGAATTTACCTTTCGGGTGTAATATGGGTCGAGTTCTCGAAAGTGCACATCCATGCTCACAAATAACCTTTTCTTCACCGGGCTCCAGCAAACATATTCCTTCTGAGTAGCAGAGTATCCCACAAAGATACACTTTACAGCTCTAGGGGCAAGTTTCCCGACAGATGGCCTATTATCCTTCACAAAGCACACACAGCCAAACACTTTAAGTGGAAGAATCCCACCATTATCTCCCTTCAACATCTCATACGAAGACTTCCAATCCAGCACTTTCGAGGGTATTCTGTTGATCAGCGCTGCTACGGTTAATACTGCCTGCCCTCACAATGTTTCTGGGACATTCATAGAGATCATCATGCTTCTAGCAACCTCTAAAAGATGTCTGTTCTTTCTTTTCGCTACCCTATTCTGAGCTGGTGTGTATGGACATGTTGTCTGGTGCTGTATTCCCTGAGTTGACAAATATTCTTCAAGCGCTCTGTTGGTATACTCTGTCCCATTATCCGACCTCAATACCTTCACCATTGCTCCGTATTGAGTTTGAACATTCCTATGAAAGTTTTGGAAGCACCCAAACACTTCACTCTTATAACCAAGTAACACGAGAGAAACAATCAATAAATGTAACAAAATACTTGTATCCATTCATAGAACTTGTAGAACAAGGCCCCCAAACATCTGAATGTACCAAGTCAAATGCATGAGAACTTTTATGACCAGAATTAACATAGGAGCTTCTAGTAAGCTTTCCAAACTCACATGCATCACACACAAGTTTCTGTTTATTTGTTTTCTCAAATAAAGAAGGATACAATCTACCTAAAACACTAAAGGATGAGTGTCCCAAACGCTGGTGATGAAGCATTAACTCACTCTCAGCACTCATTTTAGATCCTACTCCTGCTTTCTCTACGACTGACACCAACGCTGAATCCAGCCCTTCACGATCCAGATACCACAGTCCACTACGCCATGTGCCAGTCCCAAGTCTCTGTCCTGTCCCCTTCTCCTGGAAAATCACCTTGGGAATATCAAAAGAAACAATGCATTTTAGTTGGAGAATGATAGAACT